GGCTCCCGCCCCGGGACTCGGACAGCTGGCCTCGGAGCCGGCCCGGCCGCCAGGCTTAGGGAGGGGCTGCCTCGGTTTCCCCTTGGGGGAGTCCCGGGGACTAGATGGAAGGTAGAAGGAAAGGGGGCGTCTCGAGGATGGGGAGCCCCCTGGCGGGCCGTGGCTACAGAGGATCAGGGGGCTTGGGGATGTGGGCGGAACTTCCAGACCCCAGGAGCTTTTGAGGTCTGGGGAGAGCTGTGATTTGGGGATGAGGGGCTGTGGAGGGAGAGCCTGCTTGATGAGAAGTCCTGAGCTCCGGGCTGGCCTGGGAATGAGGAGGCCAGGCTTCAGGTCTCAGCAGAGGCTACTCTCTGTCGAGTCCCTTCCTCTCTCCCGGCCTCAGTTTCCCCATGTCTGTGAATGGGTGGGTGTAAGCGAGACAGTGCCTCAGGGGAGTCACCCCATGGGAGTCTCCTCCCCCTCCTTGGTGTGTGTGGAGACCCTGCTCATCCCCCATGGCGGCCCAGACAGGCCCTCACCAGGGGCGGCCCAGCATCGGATTCTCCGTGTCTTTTGCCCTCTCCTTTGCCCCTCATGTTGGGGAGCAGCCGTCTGATCTGCTTGCTTTCCAACAAACGAAAAAGCCCCCAAATCTCCCTGGGGAGGGCCTCCCCCAGCTGACCCCTGGCTCTGGGTCTGCTCTCGCTTCTTCCCCTCTTTCTGAGCCCTTAGCTTCTCCCTGCCAATGGCCTTGGTCTCCCCATGGGCTGTTCCCGGCCATAGGATCCTCGTCCCATAGAGGGGACAAGCCTGCCGTGTCACCTGTCCCCTGACGCTGTGGTGAAGAAGACCAGAGTGACATCCCTGTTGCCTCTGTTCTCCTGTCCCAATTGCTCCGCCCCTAAGTTTGTTGGTTACTCAGATCTTTGCCAATTTGCACCCTGGGATCTGAGGCTGGAAGGGACCCCAGCCAGCCCACCTCCCCCCAACCCGGTGCAGGATCCCTTTGCTGCATTTGCTCAGGGACTGCGAGCTCGTTCCTTATGAGGTGGCTGTTCAGCGTCCCGCAGCTCTCGTCTCACTTAGCTGAAATCTGTGCCTTGCTGATTCCACCCCTTGGCTCCACTGCTGCCTTCTGGAACCTGCGGTTAATTCCTTCTTTTATTCTTTCACACAATCTTTGTCGGTGAGACACTGGGGATATCGCAATGAAAAAATCAGACCCAGCTCCCTGCCCTCACGGAGTTCTTATTCTAGAAAAGAGTGGGACAGCAGGCAAATAAGTAAATACATGGTATGTCAGGTGGGGGGAAGTACCATGGAGAAAAATAAAGCAGGCGGGGAGATGAGGTGTTGGGGTGGGTATTGCAATTTTCTATCACCTAGTCAGGGATGGGCTCCCTGAGGTGGTGACCACTGAGCAAAGCCTTGAAGGAGGGAGGGGTGAGCTCTGGGGGGGAAGGGACAGTGCAGAGGGAAGAGCTCTGCAGAGGAAACAGCACCTGCAGAGGCGCCCCGGCAGGAGCATGCCCTGCAGGAGCAGGTCTGGCTGTTCCAGGAACAAGGAGGAGTCCAGTGTGGCTGGAGCAGGGTGGTGAGGAGCCAGTGGGGCATTAGTAGTAAATGAGTGCAGAGAGGTAAGGGGGGAACTGGGGGTCCAGTGCCTGGGGCCTTGAAGGTCACGGCGAGGGCTGTGGTTTTCACTCTGAGTGCAATGGCAGCCGCTGGAGGGCGTTGAGCAGAGAAGTCACCTGCTCTGACTTAGGGGTTAGCAGGTGCATCTGGCTGTGGCGGGAGAAGAGACTGTAGGGTGTGAGGGCAGAAAGGGGGGACTGGTGAGGGGCCCACTGTTGTCATTCTGGGAGATACCATGGGAGCTTGTACCCATGGCGTAGAGGTGGCGACATAATCTCGGTTTCAGATTTGGGATATATTTTGAAGGTAGGGTGGATAGGATTTGGGGTGCGAGAGAAAGGTGGAGTCGAGGATGACTTGGAGTTTCTGGGGCCCGAGCATCCAGAAGTTTGGAGCTGCCATTGACTGAAATGGGAGCTGTTTAGGGGAAGATATGGAGTTTGGTTTTGTGCTTGTTAAGTTTGAGATGCCCATTAGGCATCCATATGAAGATATCCAGTAGGCAGCTGGGAAAAGTTTAGTGGAGAGGGTGGAGCAAGAAACAAATTTTGGGCGTCCTCACCATTTAGCTGGCATTTAAAGCTGGAAGAGCAGGTGGGCTCGCTTAGGGATGGAGTGATAGGGAAAAAAGAGGTCAAACCAGGGGATTCCGGTGCTCCCAGCGTTAGGGACCAGCCAAGGAGACAGAAAGGGCAGCCGGTGAGAGGGGAGGTAAAATCAGAGGGCTGGGGTGTCCTGGACGGCAACACAGAAAGTGCTCCAAGGAGGAGGGAGGGAGCGATTATGACAGCCGCCTTTGACAGAGCAAGCAAGATGAGGGCTGAGAGTGGAGCAACGTGGAGGTCACTGGTGACCACGCTGAAAGCAGTCTGGGGGGCGCGGGGGACCGTCATTGGAGGGGATGGGGGAGGACTTGAGGACAGCAGTACAGACAACAGACAAGGAGTCCTGCTGTGAAGGGGGGCAGAGAAATGAGGTTGGACCTGAAAGGGGAAGTGGGGGTAGAGAGAGGGCTTTACTTTTAGAATGGAGAAATTACAGTCTGGTTGTGTGCTGGTGGGAAGTGCTTTCCTAGAGACAAGTTCGGTGAAGGGGGCGAGGATGGAGGATGGCTGCAGGAGGGCAGGGGGATGGATCCCGTGCCCCAGGGAGGCTTGGTGCCAGCTGAAAGCCAGGACAGTTCAACAGCTGGCCTTCCCTGGGCCTCCCTCCCTCTCCTGTCTGCAGGGGCCCAGTGGACTGAGATTTCAGCACTTAAACACATTAACTGGCTCGGGGCCCCAGAGAAACCAGGCTGGCTGTGGTCTCAGGAAGGAAGAAGGTGTCAGGGCTTGGGGATAAGGGAGGACCCACGTGTGTTGCCCCTTCTGCTTGATCCTCTTTCAGCAAGGAAGTGCCCCTCCCTTTGCATGGGTGGGCTTCACTTTCCTGGAGGAGAGACTGTAATGACTCCAAAGGTGTGGTCACTGAAGTGGAGAAGAAAAGGCACTGCGATAGGCTGATGTATTTAGTCTGAAGGGGGGAAGTCTGAGCAGGTGATCAAGGGGCAAGAGGCAGGATTTTAGGGACAGTTTTTATGAAATAGGTGATGAGTGGACATGTATTTTCTTTCTCCCAATTTGAATTGAAGCAGGAGAAACTTAAGCTAGATATAAGGAGGAGCTTCCTGAGCTGGTTAGGGAGGACAGTAAGAAGGCCAGATCCTCCCCCCTCAGTGTTTAAGATGGGAGAGGACAATGCCTGTTCAGAGACAGGGGGCTGGCCAAATTGGTCCTTGGGGATTCTCCCTGCTCTGAGGTTTCCGGAAGAAAGCCAGGGCAGAAGATGGAACTTTCCAGCTGCTAGGGGGAGGACAGAGTGCCGAACCTTATGGCTTGGCCTGCCTCTCCCTCCTGGTGTCCACAGAGCCCTGATGTCACTGGCTTGGGTGTGTGTGGCTTGAGCGTCCATCGGGCTGCCCCAGACTTGGTGTGTTCAGGAAGGGCCCTGCTTACTCACAGCTTGTCCCTCTGTGGGTGAGCACTTCTGTGGGCGTGTCTCAGGTCCCAGCGGGGTCTCTCAGTGTGGGTCATGGTGGACGCACAAGGCTTTGCACCAGAACTGCTGAGAATTACCTATTTCTGCACAGCTGGTTGGACAACTCTGGCTTCTGGCTCATCCTTCCGGGGTTTCCCCGGAAGCTAGGGTCTCTGGGCAGATCCAGGCCTGTCAGTCCTGTTCCACTCGGCTGTTGCCTTCTTGCTTGAGGCCTGCCCGCGGATGACTGAGCCATGCTTGCTCCACCTCGCCTGATGAGCTCTGATGGGGGGAGGATGGTCCCGGCTCTGCCCATGTGGAGGAGAGAGTAGCCGTCCATCGTTAGGCATCTCCTGGGTGAGAGGAGCAGGCATCGTCCTGTCTCATGTTAACTTTCAACTTGTTAATTCCTGGCTGCGCACATGCCCTCCAAGTGTCAGGTCAGAGAGAGAGTGCCGACCCCATTTCTGGGCTGTTCCCATTTCCGGGTGAATGGTTCTCTTCCCCAGGACCTGGGCAGGGGGGTGGTGGAGCTGGTGTTTCCACAGCTGAGGACCGCTCCAGGGCCAAGCCCAGAGCTCTTCCTACCCCTTCCTGTTCTCTCTTCTCCCCCTCTCCACCTCTACCCTCTTGGCTCCTCGGCTTAGCCTTGGCCGTGGGCACAAGGAGGCAGCCTGCTTGGCTGCAGAGAACTATTTTAGCTACAGCAGTTGGTTTACAGTGGCTTCTGCACTGGGGATGCTCTCCGTCCCAGGCTGCAGACATGCGGGTAACCTCGCTGCCTCCGTTTCCTCGTCTGGCCGGCACAGGCTTCCAGTCTAAGTGTTGGCAGCATTCTGAGTTGGAGATTTCTCCTTTCGCTCACCTTGGCTGGCATTTGAAGGTGGCACAGAATGTTCCAGCCCCTTCCCTTGCTCCGTGGATGTTTGATTCATGAACATTCCCACTGTGCCTCCCCTGGGCCCAGCCCTGTGCCAAGCTTAGGAACGGATGCCAGGGTGAGTAGGACCCAGGCTTCAGCTAGGGCCAGGAAGGGAGTGAGACACCGAAACCACCGATAGGAAGGATGCAAGTCTCTCGAGGGCTGCTCCCTTCGGTTTCTCGGAATGTCCCTGTTTCATAAAAAGAAGCAGACGTTCCTCTTCTTTTTCCATACCTACACTCTTTCGCTTTCATTTTCTCTGGGCACTGCACCAGCCCACGTCCCTGGACCATGTGACAGTGGCAGAATGGAACCTGCTGAGAGATTCTCTCTGCTGCTTGGGAACCCGCTCAGGGCTTGAAGCTCCGAGAGATCGCGTCCCCTCGAATTCCCAGAACCCGGAGTCTGAGGGCTGAGGCCAGAGCAAGCCGTTGGCAGAGGCAACAGCATGTAATGTGTGGTGGTGAGGGGGTGGGAGGGAGAGGAGGGCTGGGGGCAGTTGGGAAGGGGGCAGTGGTGACCGGATCAACACACCTGTAAGCTTTGAGACCTCTTCGTTTGCACCGTGCTTTTCCTTTCACCTGGGTTGGGATCTTTATAGCAATCTCTAGGTCTGCCCCTTGGGGTAGCAGTGGGTTACCTACACAAGCATGGGTTCAGGGCCCCTGAGCCAGCCCGGATATAAGGGAAGTGAAGGCATGCATTCTGGAGTCGCCCCGCTTGGGATCAAATCCTACCTCCCCCTCATGTAGCTGTGAGCCCTTGTACAAGTCACTTAGCCTCTCTGTGCTTCAGTTTCGTCATCCGTAGAATGGGGCTGATCGTAGCACCTACTTCAGAGTGGTGGGGAGAGTTAAATGAATTCACACATGAAAGCACTTAGGATGGTGCCTGGCACATGGTGTGTGCTTAATAAATATTAGCCGTTATTGGGCTGGCCCCGTGGCTTAGCGGTTAAGTGCGCGTGCTCCGCTACTGGCGGCCCGATTTCGGATCCTAGGCGCGCACCGACACACCGCTTCTCCGGCCATGCTGAGGCCGCGTCCCACTTACAGCAACTAGAAGGATGTGCAACTATGACATACAACTATCTACTGGGGCTTTGGGGGTGAAAAAAAAAAAAAGGAGGAGGATTGGCAATAGATGTTAGCTCAGAGCCGGTCTTCCTCAGCAAAAAGAGAAGGATTAGCATGGATGTTAGCTCAGGGCTGATCTTCCTCACACACACAAAAAAATAGCCATTATTGAAGAAGGAGCTGCTGTAGCCGGAATCTGAGGAGCATGGAAGGCCCCTCATAAGGCCTCAAAGAGAATTAATTCCCTGCTTCCTTGGGAGACATGGCTCCTAATATTAGCTCCATATTTTGGGCTTCCTAACTTTTTAAACTTCTTAAGCCAGGGATGTAGCGTGGATGTGGGAACCAGGTCCTGATTTAACTCTTGGCTGCTTCAAATTCTCTGTGGGACCTGGAGCCTGTTGCTTGCCCTCTCTGGGCCCCAGACTGCACAGCTGTACCATGGGGAGCGTGGGTTGGGTAGTGTCTGAGGGTGGAAGGGCTGTGGCCGGCTTGGACTCGGGGTGGGGCAGACTTGCCACCTCCACTGCCCCCCACCCGCTTCCGGAGAAGTCCTGACATCGCTCTCCTCCCCAGGTTGTGAAATGTGCACGCAGGAGGCGTTCCAGGCGCAGAGGAGCCAGCTGGTGGGGCTGCTGGTCTCGGGGTCCCTGGAGGGCTTTGAGAGTGTCCTGGACTGGCTGCTTTCCTGGGAAGTCCTCTCCCGGGAAGACTACGAGACCCTCAGCCTCCTGGGCCAGCCCCTCTCCCACTTGGCCAGGCACCTTCTGGACACTGTCTGGAAGAAGGGTGCCTGGGGCTGTGAACAGCTCATCGCGGCTGTCCAGGAGGCCCAGGCTGACAGCCAGTCCCCTGAGCTTCCTTGTGGCTGGGACCCCCACTCAGCCCACCCAGCCCGTGACTTGCAGAGTCACCGGCCAGCCATTGTCAGGAGACTCTACAGCCATGTGGAGGGCGTGCTGGACCTGGCGCATGAGCGGGGCTTTGTCAGCCGGTACGAATGTGATGAAATCAGGTTGCCCATCTTCACGTCATCCCAGCGGGTAAGGCGCTTCCGTCTTGGGTAATCAGAGTTCATTGCAAAAGGGTGCTTAGTCACCAGATGAATTTGTCTTCGTGAAGTCAGCCCTGTGGGGAGACACGGGTCATGGGATTCCCTCTGAAAAGGCAGCCAGGCAGGTAAAAGTTGCTCTGGATTTTTGGTGTCGTAGCACTACTGATGAGAGAAAGTGTTGTGCGGTGGCCAAGGGCGTGGATTCTGGAGTCAGAATGACACAGGCTCAGGGGCAGCTGTGTGTGACTGCGGGCTTCTCTAGGCATACTCTCCATCCTTCACCTCTCCTTCCCAGTTTCCTCATCTGTAAAACGTCTATAAGGTTCTTGGGAGACTTCAGTGAGTCGATTTGTGTAACACTTAGAACAGTGTGGTGCACGGTAAGCGCTCCTTAGCATGACACTTGGCTGCCATCGATGCTGTTTTCAGTGATATCAGTACTTGTACACTTCTATTTCTTCTGTTTTAATAACAGCTCAACAGATCATAACAATTCATTAAATTAACCTGTATTTAATAATTATTATAGCATGCTATGTACTAACGTAGTTTACACGCCCACATAGGATTTCTTTTTTTTTTTTAATTTTTTGTTTATTGCAGTAACATTGGTTTATAACATTGTAAAAATTTCAGGTGTACATCATTGTACTTCTATTTCTGCACATAGGATTTCTGATGTGAAATTGTGTTAGATTGTAGACGTTCAGAGTTGGGATATAACTGCCTCTGAAAATGCCATTCCACAAGAGCTGAACAGTGTCTTTGGGTATTTTTGAAACTCTTTGTTTTATTTTCCCCCAGACAGCGACCCTCGGCCCTCCTGTGATGTGGCTGGAATCGTCATTAACATCCCCCTTTATAGATTGGGAAATTGAGGCCCAGAAAGGTGGTTTGAGTTAGCTCACAGTAGTTGATGAGAGGGCCAGTGCTGTAGCCAGTGCCTTGACTTATTCATTTATCATTAATTTCTTCATTCATTTATTTAGCCAGAATCTGTTTAGATGCCTACTATGTGCCAGGCTCTGTCTTAAAGCTTATTATACTCAGAGTGCCTTGCACATAGTAGGCACTCAGTCAATACTTGTTGATGAAATACATGAATTATTGAATGAATTGGAATTACATTGCAGTGTTAGGATGGGCTAGCTTGGGGGACTTTCTAGTTTTTTAGTTTTGTCTATTTTTTAAAAAAATGTATTTGGTGTCCAGGTGAGTTTAGGTAAGCCTAGGTTGAGACTGATGGTATAAGCCGGTCTGTCTTCAAGGCTGTTTTAAAGCCGGCTCAAGGTGGCCAAGTATTTACAGAGCAGACATGGTGTGGTCCCCTCTCATTAGTGCATGTGAGACTTACAATCATACCCTGAGACCATCTCTGTGAGCCTGGCCCCGTGGGGATTACAGAAGACATGTTAGTTATTGTACCTACCTTGGTCTCTTTTGTGATATGTTGGGGGGATCAAATCAGCCCACGTGGGAAGTTACAGGATTGCGTCTTATCCTCTTTGATCAAGTGTTCAACAGCATAGTCTTGTCTGGATGCCCTGAGGGGTTTGGAGAAGATAGCCTAGAACCCTAGGGCCCGGAGGAGACAGAGAATGAATAGAGGAAGTATTTGGATTGATGAAGAAAAGAAAATAGGATAACTGATGAGTCAAAGAAGAAATCATAATAGAAATCTGAAAATATTCAGAACCAAACAATAATGAGAATATGATTTATAAAAATTATGGGATACAGCTAAAGCAGAACATAGAGGAAAATTTATAACCTTATAGTAGGAAAGAAGAAAGGCTGTATTTTAATGAGCTAAGAATCCATCTTAAGAAATGGCTAGGTAAACAGCAAAAACGTTGAGGGTGGGATGGAGCTGAGCACGTGGAAAGGATAGCAGACAAGAGATCTGAGGATCGTAGGAGTTTACAAAGGGACTAGGCTGCCTGGGGTTTAAGTTTGTAGAATCCAGCTCTCTCTGAGCCTCTGTTGAGCTCTGGCATTTATGATTCTTTAACTTAGTAGCTGAATTTCTGATTCAATGTGGGTGACACTTGTGGTATGTCCAAGTACCATATCCCCCCAGTCCAGGACTGCCTTGTATACTCTCATGATGATTTCCTATAAAGAGGTAGTTGTCATGGCCTGCGAGGTGGGGACTAAAAAATGCTGTGGAATGAAACACAGTGCAAGGTAAAGAACTAAATCCCTAAAATACCCATTGCTGCTATTTCCTGAGTGAGTGCCTACCGTATGCCAGGCCTTGTGCTCAGCCCTCTATGTTTATTATCTCATTTAAGCCACATCCCTACCTTCCAAGGTATAGTGTGGCCACACTGTTTCTTAACAATGAAGAAACTGGGAAGTGGCCCAGCTAGAATTTGAATCCAGGCCTGTTTGTCTCCATAGCTTGTGATCTTCTCTCTCTGTCATGAAATGTGAGGGCTTCATGGGGTAAACTTGCTCACTTGGGCATAACAGTTAGCAAACGTGAGGCTCGAACACCAGCTGTAATACCAGCTGTCCATATGACTCATGCAGCTGCTAAAGTTGATAGGGCCTGGGTGTCAGACTGCATTGCTTAGATCCTTCACAGTATTAACTTAACACATTTAACTTGGGAAAGGTACCATGCCTACAGAAAAGTGTATAATTTCATATGTTATGGCATAAACGTATTCCCATCACCCAGGTGAAGACATAGAATGTCACCAGTACCTTGCTCAATTGCGACCACTAGTGGTAACCACTAGCCTGACTTTTATGTTAATCATTTGTTTGCTTTTCTTTATAGTTTTAATAACTTATACAATTAATCCTCAAACATTGTATTGTTTTGTTTTGAAAAACTGCATAGCAAGCATAAACGTAGCTGTGTCAGGAAAGCGCAGTGTTACCTTTCCTTCCTGGAAGAAAGTCCCAGGAGCAGGGAAGCTGATCAGGGTCTCAGGGACAAGGTCTGGCTGTACCTTCTTGGGGGGTTTGTGAGGGCCCCTGGGGGGAAGTCAGTGGGCAAGGTCATGAGTGAGTCTTGGGAAAGACAGGGCTCCCCACAGCTGGAGGATCTGGTAGGGTGGGTGCGAGTCAGGGGCTGGATGTCCAGTAGGAATACGGTCAGAGGAAGTGGGCTGCTCTGTACGTTCAGTTGTAAGCTTGCCAAAGGCTCCTCCAGCTCCCAGGTATGGGGCAAAGCCAACACTGTGTGGGGTGAAATGAGTGATCTCAGCTGACCCAGGCAGCAGGGGTTGATAGAAAGAATGATATTAACCCCTGGAGCAGACAAGCCAAATATAGATAAGGATTAGAGCCAGGCCTGTCTGGACATCTAGTAGATAACTGCCCTCAATATATCTGTGTCTTGGGTCACACTGCTCCAGTCTGTATGGACTGGTGGCCCTCTGCTTGTAGTACAGAGCTATCATTCTGAGATTTCTCTTCATGATCCTCCTGTGTTAGTTCTCCTGTATCCTGAATACTATCTCTTCTTTCTTGGTTTGCTCCACTTTGGTAGATCATATCCTCTAGTCAATTCTTTGGAATGAGTGTATGGGAATTAAAATGTCTGAGCTTTTACATGTCTAAAAGTTTCCTAATACTTGATCGATAGTTTGGCTGGGTATAAAATTCTGAGTGGGTCATCATTTTCCTTCATAATTTTGAGAGCAATACTCCCTTATCTTCTCTCTTCCAGAGAAGAATTGCTGGAAGAATTCCAAAACCATTTTGTAACTCTTTCTGGAAACTTACAAAATTTTCTTTTGGTCCCTAAAATTCTGAAATTTCACAATTATGTACTGTGGTGTTCTTCCATTGTGCTAGGCACGCAAGAGGCACTTTGAATTTGGAAACTCATATCTTTATGTTCTGGAAAATTTTCTTGATTAGTTTATTGATGATTTCTTCCTATTTTCTCTCTTCTTTCTTTACAGAACTATTTAAATTTTAGAACTCCTGGACTGATCCTCCAATTTTTTTCAATTTCTCATCTATTTTCCATCTCTAAGTGTGTTCTTGCTCTGCTTTCTGTATGATACCCTCAGCTTTATCTTTAAACCCTTGAGTTTTTCATTTTGCTATCATTCTTTTAATTCCAAAAGCTCTTTTTGAATGTTCCTTATTATAGTATCCTGTTCTTGTTTTATGGATGAAAAATATTCTCTTACTTAAGGATCATAATGATAGGGTATTTTAAAATATTTTTTGTAATTTCTTTACACCATGCATAACCTTTTTATCCTTCAAGTTGCTTTATCCTCCCCCACTTATTTGACTTCCATCTCCCATATTAGATGCTTTCTTTGGACATGTGATAATCCTTGGTTGTCTGCTCATGACTGAAATAAAGTACTTCAAAACTTACTGGACAGTCAGAGCATGGAGGTGAGACTTGTCTACTTTGAGTTTCACTGTAGACATTTTGGGAAATGGCAGTGTTTGTATCTTTAGACCTTTCCTCCTGGGTTGGTTGAGTCCCCAGTGTAGACTTCACAGACCTCTTGCCTGGAGGTAGAGGTCTGATGGCCAGAGTTGTGGGAGCCGAGTGAGTGAGAGGGCCGGGCATTGATGGTGGTGGGAGGCTGGGCATTCAGCACTCATTTTGCATATGCTCATTTAAAACCTCTGTTTGGGGGGTAATCCCCCCCTCCTTCATTGTACCCAGTGCCTCACTGTCTAGGGACTCTGTTTTAGCCTTTCCAGATTATAACTCTTCACACTTGGCCATGGCAGGGCAGGGACAATTGCTAGTGGCTTGGAGTGGGTAAAGGGAACTGGAGATCTGTTTCATAAAGCACTCTGACTCAGCCTTCCTTGATTTAATCGTTTCCTTCAGTTCCAGCAGCCTTTATAGATTCTGAGATACATTGTGTGGTTTTCAATTTCCCCATTGTTGGCTTAGGGTTTGGCATTCTGGGCTCTCCTAAGTCTATTACTATTCATTCATCTGGCAAGTCCTTGAGCACCTACTCTGTGCCAGGCACTCGTCTAGGTGTTGGGGATACAGCAATGAACAAAACAGACAAAAATCCTCGTCTTGGAGATGCTCACATTCCAGTGGGGCGAAATAGACAATAAGCAAAAGGAAGTAAATGACAGAATATGTTAGAAGGTGATACGTGCTGTAAAAAACAGTAGAGTGGGTTTGGGGGTTGAGAGTCACAGGGGCCGGGGGTCCGTGATTGCAATTTTAGATAGACTGGTCAGGGAGTTCGCACTGAGAAGGTGAAATCTGAGCAAAGACTTAAAGGAGGTGAGGGAATTAGTCATGTGGATAGCTGGGGGAAGGACATGCCAGGCAGCGGGGACAGCCAGGGCAAGGGCCCAGAGGTGGGTGCATGCTTGGTATTTTCAGGAAACAGGAGGCTGGTGTGCTGAGTGGAGTGGGCAAGGGGAAGAGGAGTAAGAGATGAGACCAGAGAAGTAACCAGGATCCAGATGATCCCAGGCAGGACTTTTGTCTGGTTGGGGCCTTGTTGGTTACTGTTGGACTTAGGCTTCTACTCTGAGAAATGACGGAACTGTTGGGACATATGTAACAGGAATAGTGTGGTCTGGCTTTTACTTTCAAAGAATTACACTCCAACTGTGGTGTTGAGAACAGATGTTGGATACAGGGACAGAAGCAGAGAGACCAGTTATGCAGCCTTTGCAGTTTTCTAGGTGAGCAATGGTGGTGGTCTGGACCGGGTTGGCAGTAGAGGAGATGACGATAAGAGGTGGGGCTCTATTGCTGTGTATCCAACTTGGTAGACACTGGCCACATGTGGCTAATGAGCACTTGAAACGTGGTTGGTCTACAATGAGATTCTGTTTCAAAGACTTAATACGAAAGAAAGAATGTAAAATATCTCACTAATTTTTTATATTGGTTACATGTTGAAATGGTAATATTTTTGCTATACTGGATTAAATAAAATATATGATTAAAATTAGTTTCATCTTTTTTTTAATCTTTAAAAATATGGCTATTAGGAGACTCAAAATGACACATGTGTCTGGCATTATACTTCTATTGGACAATGCTGTTCTGGGTATACTTTGAAGGTGGAGCCAACAGGAGATGCTGGTGGATTGCAGAAGAGAGGCTTCAAGGATGATTCTAGAACTTTGGGGCTGAGCAACTGGAAGGATGGAGTTGATGTTAGCTGAGATGAGGAAGGCTGTGGGTTTGGCATGTGTGTGCAGATTAGGAGTTTAGTTTTGGATATGTTAAGTTGGAGGTGTTTGTGAGACTTCTAAGTGGAGATGGAGATGAGACTTCTAAGAGTGGATGTGTTGTCCAATGTTCGGGGGAGTAGTTCAGGTTGGAGATGAAAATGTGGGAGTCATGCGCAGAGATGGCATTTCAAGCCACAAGACCCAATGAAATCACCTCTCTTCCAAATGATTTGCAGCTTTCCAAATTGTTTTTCCTATCCTCGTAGGTTTATAGGTTTATGTCTTTTTTTTTTTTTTTTAAGTTATTCTCTCTTTTGGTGGGTTTTGAGAGGCAGCCAGATTGGATGTGTGTATTTAAGTGTTCATTTCACCACCTAATGCTGCATTGACTTTTTAAAACTCATCTTGTTGTTTTGATGTTTTTCCGGCCTTTTATTGTGGTGGAAGAGAGATGCCTATGAAATTGTAGTAATCAGTAGAAACCTTCCCTCTGTCACCTTTTCTGGAAAAATAATGGCCTTTGCTTTCCCCGTAGGCAAGAAGGCTCCTCGATCTTGCCACAGTGAAGGCGAATGGATTGGCTGCCTTCCTTCTACAACATGTTCAAGAATTACCAGTCCAGTTAGCCCTGCCTTTCGAAGGTATTTATATGTTCTTCTCAGTTCATCAGCAAGGGAGACAAAAGCTGTGTAGATTCATGGTTAAGAGCAAAAACTCCAGGGCCGGCCCCATGGCTTAGCTGTTAAGTGCACGCGCTCCGCTGCTGGCGGCCCGGGTTCGGATCCCGGGCGCACACCGACGCACCACTTCTCCGGCCATGCTGAGGCCGCGTCCCACATACAGCAACTAGAAGGCTGTGCAACTATGACATACAACTATCTACTGGGGCTTTGGGGGGAAAAAATAAATTAAAAAAAAAAAAAAGAGCAAAAACTCCAGAGTGAGACACGGCTGTTAGAATCCCACTTACTGGCTGTGCAAGTCTCCCTAAGACTCAGTTTCCTCCTTTTAAGGATAACACCACCGCTGTCTCATCAGGCTACTGGGAGGATTAAAAGGATGAACATGTGTAATATGAGGGTTAGCTTTTGTTATTTCCCACACTGCAGAATGCTAATTGGAGCTACGGTGTATTGAGGGCTAGTGCAGGCGTTCCTTACTAGCCAAACGTTATCTGTACTGAAAAGATGTGGATACACTTTTTGAGATAGGGCTGGTATCTCTTGATCTCTGCAATTCAGCTACTCACTATGAGAAACTCAAGAACCAAATGGATTTAGATAACGTGAGATCTCCCATTGCACATGGTCACCAGCCCAAGTCAGGAACCCGAGAGGCGTGGATGGCACAGCTTGAATGTCCTAGGCATCCTGCCAGGCCCTTTGTTTACGATATCTGTGCTTTGTGACAACCCTGAGAAGTAGGTGTCATGTTGTCCACTTTACAGACGTGAAAACTGAGACAGGGAGATGGAGTGACGCGATAGGGGAGGGTAGGTCTGGTTTGAGACTGTCTCCACCTCTGCTTAGAGAATGGATCGTCAGTTGTAAAGAGAGGACACTTTACAGTGGCGCTTTTCCACATCACCGCGGGGAAAGCTCCTTGGCACTGGGGCCCCTGACCTGTGTGTGGTGCTGGCAGATGGCTTTCTCACCCTGGGCCCTGCCCTCTGGGCAGCGAGCGTGCTTGTGGGAGGGATGGCTGGAAGCTGGTGCCTGGGTGTGCACCCTCTCACCCGAGAACAGCACACAGACATCCGGGCAGGACAGGGGTGCAGGCACAGAGCACGGTGCCCGGCTGGGCCCTTGGTTAATGTCTGCTCTTGATATCATCAAACACAGCTGGCCATCCATGCATCGAAACACTGTGCCGTGGTGTAAGATTCCCCAGGGTGACGAACTGAAAGGTGATGACTGACATGTGATTGTTTGTTTTTAAAATGAGAGAGGATTTTTTTTCTGGAGAATTTTTATGTCATTGGTGATGGCTGGAAAACCTGCATTGGAAATCAGGGTATTAGAGAGGGAAAAATATATTTTGTGGTCTCCGTTCAGCGCTCCTGGTATATCCAGAGGGGCATTAAGAGCAACGATAATCATCAGCTCTGGGAACAGAAGAGGAGATGCAAACACAGGGCATCTCCTTTGTACGACTAGAGATACAACTTCGATGTGCTCGGAAGTACGTGTTAGCCTTGGCTTGAGAACAAATGGGCAGAACTTGGTTTGGGGCAGTGAGGCTGTGACGCAGTGACCCATGCGCTGAGGTGCCACCACCCTGGGGCTCTGGACCACCACTTCCCCATTTCCTAAAAGGAGAACCAATCCCTGCCACAGGAAGTGGTTTGTTCACGTTGGCATAAGTTGATAAAGGAAAAGCAGCCCTGCAGACACACCCTGGCATGAGAACGCGTCCTGCAGCGGATTGTGTGCAGAGGATGGGGAAGCGGATCTTGATCAGGGGGTCTTGTCCAAGTGCTTGACCTGGGCATCCCAGTGACCCTGAGGCCATCCAGTGCTAGGTCCCCCCACACAATCCAGGGTAATCTCCCCATCTCGAGGTCTTTAGCTTAATCACCTCTGTCTAGTCCCTTTTGCAAGTAAGGTAACATGTTCACAGATCCTGAGGATTGGGATGTGGACGTCTTTGAGGGGCCACTGTTGTGCCTACCACACCTACTAATAATGATGAAAATAAACACTGTTTTTTTGAGAGTTTACCAAATGTCAGAAATTCTTTTAAACTCTATTTTATCTCCTTTCCTCTTGAAACAATCCTTCAAGGTATGGATTGTCCCCATTTTTACAGATAAGCATAGGGAGGCCAGAAAGTCTCAGTGGCTTGCCTAAACTCATGGCGGACCCAGGTTTCAAGCTCAGGTGTGTCTGCAGAAACTGGGCTCCTGAGCCCTTAAACCTCCTGTTTCCCTTTACAAAGATGCGCCTGAGGCTGCGTGGTGAAGGGACTCATCTAAGGCCACCTAGTCCATATGTGGGACAGGCATCAGAATGCAGGTCTTCTGATGCCAGCCCAGTGCTCCTTCCAGTCTACAGCTCTTCCTGATGTAGTAATAATAAGAGCGCCAGCTAATGTCTTTTGAGCACACACTTCACGTTGGACACTGAACGAATCATTGACGTGCATTATCTTGATTGATCCATGTAAAAACCCTCTAAGGTAGGGACCACCATTTCATCCACTTCACAGGGGAGGAAACTGAGGCTTTGGAAGGTTACATGACTGTCCTCAACGTCCATTGAGAGTGGAGGGCCAGGACTGGCGCCTGCTGGCTATTCCCTCCCGTCTGTATCATCACAGTACCCCATGCAGCCCACTCTCTGGTCGGGTCCCATCGTCCCCGTGGTCCCACCTCATTTGCCTCTTCCATCTCCAGATGCCGCCTGTAAGAAGTACATGTCCAAGCTGAGGACCACGGTGTCTGCTCAGGCCCGTTTTCTCAACACCTACGACGGGGCAGAAAATCTTTGCCTGGAGGAAATATACACAGAGAACGTTCTGGAGATCCGGACGGAGGTGGGCATGGCTGGAGCCCCGCAGAAGAGCCCTGCCACCCTGGGCCTTGAGGACCTCTTCAGCACCCCCGGCCACCTCAACAAGGATGCGGACACCGTGCTGGTAGTGGGCGAGGCGGGCAGCGGCAAGAGCACGCTCCTGCAGCGGCTGCACCTGCTGTGGGCCACGGGGCGGGACTTCCAGGAGTTTCTCTTCGTCTTCCCGTTCAGCTGCCGGCAGCTGCAGTGCGTGGCGAAGCCGCTCTCCGTGCGCGCGCTGCTCTTCGAGCACTGCTGTTGGCCGGACCTTGGCCAGCAGGACGTCTTCCAGTTCCTCCTTGACCACCCCGACCGCGTCCTCCTCACCTTCGACGGCTTTGACGAGTTCAGGTTCAGGTTCACGGATCGCGAGCGTCACTGCTCTCCCACCGACCCCGTGTCTGTCCAGAGTCTGCTCTTCAACCTTCTGCAGGGCAACCTGCTGAAGAACGCCCGCAAGGTGCTGACCAGCCGTCCGGACGCGGTGTCGGCGTTCCTCAGGAAGTACGTGCGCACGGAACTCAGCCTCAAGGGCTTCTCGGAAGAGGGCATCGAGCTGTACCTGAGGAAGTGCCATCGCGAGCCCGGGGTGGCCGACCGCCTCATCTGCCTGCTTAAAGCGACCTCAGCCCTGCACGGTTTGTGCCACCTTCCTGTCGTTTCGTGGATGGTGTCCAAGTGCCACCAGGAGCTGTTGCTGCAGGGCAGGGGGTCCCCGAAGACCACCACAGATATGTACCTGCTGATCCTGCAGCATTTCCTGCTGCATGCCTCCCCAGCAGACTCAGCCCCCCACGATCCGGGACCTGGCCTGCTTCGAGGCAGGCTCCCCACTGTCCTGCACCTCGGCCAGCTGGCCCTCTGGGGCCTGGGCACGTGCTGCTACGTGTTCTCCGCCAAGCAGCTCCAGGCAGCACACGTCGACAGTGAGGACGTTTCTCTCGGCTTCCTGGTGCGGGCCAAAAGGGTTGTGCCAGGCAGCGTGGCCCCCCTGGAATTCCTGCACATCACTTTCCAGTGCTTTTTTGCTGCGTTCTACCTCGTACTCAGTGCTGACACGCCGCCGTCCTCGCTCAGATACCTCTTCAATTGTCGCAGGCCAGGCAGCTCGCTGCTGGCCAGGCTGCTGCCTGCCATGTGCGTGCAGGGCTCGCGGTGCAGGGAGGGCAGCGTGGAAGCTTTGCTGCAGGGGGCCGAGCCTCACAACCTCCAGATCACAGCGGCCTTCCTGGCAGGACTGTTGTCCCGGGAGCACCGGGGCCTGCTGGCCGAGTGCCAGGGGTCTGAGAAGGCCCTGCTCCGGCGCCAGGCCTGTGCCCGGTGGTGTCTGGCCCGCAGCCTCCACAAGCATTTCCACTCCATCCCGCCAGCTGTGCCGGGCGAGGCCAAGAGCATGCACGCCATGCCCGAGTTCGTCTGGCTCATCCGGAGCCTGTACGAGATGCAGGAGGAGCGGCTGGCGAAGGAGGCTGTGCGTGGGCTGGACGTCGGGCACCTTAAGCTCACGTTTTGCAGCGTGGGCCCGGCCGAGTGTGCCGCCCTGGCCTTCGTGCTGCGGCACCTCCGGCGGCCTGTGGCCTTGCAGCTGGACCACAACTCTGTGGGTGACATTGGCGTGGAGCAGCTGCTGCCTTGCCTCGGCAGCTGCACGGCTCTGTAGTGAGTGTTGCTGGGTGATGCTGGCTGGGCGTGGTGGGAATGACACCATCGAGGTGCAGGTGCGGGAGCACCGTGCTGGGATCCAGGAGTTCAGGCCCACCCCAGCCCTGCCACCCCTTCTGTGTAAGGACCCCACCCGTCCCTTCTCCAGTCTGGGCCTTAGTTTAAATATAGGATAATGATAGCCATGATTCATTGAACGTCCTACGTGACAGCCACTTTGCTAATCACTTCCTGGAATTACCTCCTTTGCTCCCCCCGCCCTCCCTGGTCTGCAGCAGGCACATTCTTATCCCCATCATCCTAAACTCGAGGCTCAGAGAAGCCAAGTAACTTGTCCAGGGTCACGTAGGAAGTGGCAGAGCTGGGATTCACAGATCACATCTCTCTGGTTAGAAGCCCTTCCCCCGACAAGCAGCCTGTCTGTGGACGGGCTTCAGAGGATCTGTGACAACCTTGAAGTCACACGCAGAGTTTTGTCTAATATATGTCTGTATTAGGAACTGCCCCAAATCGGAGGTGACTTCTGCCCCATCAGAAACTTTAAAATCCCAACGAGATGGGAATTTCGGGACCCGAGAAAGAGAAAGTGGCTGCAGAGTCTCGCCTGCGCCTTTATTCCTTACGTAGTGCTGTGTCCACGCGAGATTTTGCCGTCACCCTTGCTGCTTTCCGCCGCTGTCGGAAGGTGTGAGGTCCCCCCTCTGGAACGTCTGTGCCCCAGCACCCGGGAGCCTCTCTCCATGTCTTGGGCCAGGTGAGGGCAGAGTGTATCCAGGTGTGGCCAGGTAAAGGAAGGATGGCCAGTACAATACTCTATTTCCCTGGGAAGGAGGAATCATGATATTTTCACTCAGGAATTTCGAGACCTGTCTGTGGGGCTATCTTCCTGAGCACGCTGCAGGCTCCCCAACTCCCCTTCCAGCCCTGAAAGGGGGTGTCCTGGTCCCTATTTATAACCTCTGAGGAAGCAGAAGTTGTAGCTTAAAGTCTACTCTCAGCCTCCCAGGGCTTTTGGTCTACCCCGGGTGACGTTATTTGACCGTAATTAAGGGACTTACCTCTCCTTGTATATATTAGGATGACATTCCTTCTCGAGGCCACAGCAGCAGGATTTTTTTCCTCTGTGGAGCAGACACACAGATATCTACTAGAAACTGTGCGGTGACCTTTGTCATCTCTTACATAGGAACTGTGATCATAAGTTGATAAATATGATGTAATAATATAATGTATAACATATCATATGGAGTTAATATGTATATTATATGTAATTAATATATATGATAAATATGAATATATCAGGAGGAAACAGATGACGCACTTAAATCGGATGATTTGAGGAGAGTTTAATAAGGGACTGTTTACACGTCTTGGGTAGGAGTTAGGAAGAGCAAAAAGGGATGGTGCAAGGTCCTGGGGTAGTAACAGTGGGGGTGGGCCGGGGTCGTTATCCTCCTTAGGCCTGACAGACAGGGCAGGGAAGGAGTAGTTATTAGCTGAGAGGACGGTATGGAGAGGGCAGCCTGATGGGAACTGCAGCAGCCCGGAAGGGTGGGGTCTGGGGGAATAAGGCCCAGCCCTTACTCTCCTCCCCATTCTTGCCTTCCACCGGGGCCTTCTGCTAGCTAAACCCAACAGGGAGCCAGAGCTGGGTGCCTGCTGCTGTAGTCGATGGGAATCAGCCCCCCAGCACCGAGAGCCAGGTAGAGAAGGGGGAGAGTGGATCTGGCCAGGTAAACGGAGGATGGCTGGTACAATACTCTATTTCCCTAGGAAGGAAGAATTGCGATATTTTCACTCAGGAATTTCGAAACCTGTCTGTGGAGCTATTTTCTTGAATGTGCATTTTTCTGGATAGCGGACCCCTAGTTCTCAAAGGGGTCCTTGAACCCCAAGAGGTCAGGAAGCACTGGCGTGGATGATCCACATAGATCCATCCCTAGGATGAATGGATCCTTTCTCCTTGGTTAGGAAGGCCCACGTGAGTCCCATGGCGTGTGGAGGAGCTGAGTGGAGGCTGGGGGCCTGTCTCTCTTTTCAGAGAAAGGTAAGGATGGTCTGGCTCTAGTGCTCAGACTCTGGTGTGCAAAGGGGCTTGTGGAAATGAGATTCTCGGGCCTGTCTCTGGCGATTCCCATCCTGAAGGTCTGGGGTGGGAGCTCAGGAATCTGTTTTTAACACAGTGATTCTGATACAAGCAGTTCAGAGGCCAGACTGTGAAGACTGCTGGCCTGTGGGAACCAGCTTGATTCTCCATTAGCAGTTAAAGCCCTTAACCAAGTTGCACTGCTGTTCCCCTCCACACACGCGGTATTGACGTTGCCAACACGGTGTGGAGGGGAAACAACCGTGAGGTTGCTGAGTTGGCGTTTCCTGTGTGAGGGAGAGTCAGAGAGGCAGAAAGACAGAGAGGGAGGGAGGGAGCGAGGGGAAGAGAGGCTCCTCTCACGCAGAGCCACGCTACATCTCTCCCACTTGAAGTGTTCCCATGCCAACTGACACCCTCAGCCCCCAGGAAGCCCCGTGTACAAAGTGCCCCTCTGTGGGTGTCTTTAGACCCTGGCTGTGACTCTAGGGGGATGGCTTTCGAAGGTTTGTGACCGTGACCCCCAGTGAGAGAGGGTGTGAGTGGGCACACAGGCGTGCAAAACTGAAACCAGAGCTGCACAGATTGACTTTCCCTTATTTACTCCGATACGCTCTCCTCTCTTCTTCTTTTCTGTTCTTTTTCCATTTAAAACAGTGCTGCTCGAGGGCCAGCCCTGTGGCCTAGTGGTTAAGTTCGGTGCACTCTGCTTTGGCAGTCTGGGTTCGCAGGTTCGGATCCCGGGCGCAGACCTATAGCACTCGTCTGCCACGCTGTGGTGGCGAGCCACATGGAAGATAGAGGAAGACTGGCACAGATGATAGCTCAGGGTGAATCTTTCTCACCAAAAAACAAAAAAAAGCTGCTCAGAACCTTCAGAGGTCACCAATGGGTCATGACATCTGACCTTAGAGCCCAGAGAAGGCCAGAAAGGAGAGGCCACACAACGTCATGGTAAAGAGTAGGCTTTGGAGCCAGACCACCTAGGCCCAAATCCTTTAGGCGCTGTGCCACCTTGGCAAGGTAACTTCACTTGCTGTGCCTTATTTCTAATGGACATCAGCATAATACCTACTTCAGGGCTGTGGGCATTAAATGCCGTTACTCCTGGGCAGTGCTTAGGACAGTGGCAGCACGTCAGAAGCTCCGTACCTCTGACCATCATGATCACAGGTAGCTTTTACCTTGTGCCAGGTGCTCACTGTCTGTGTGCACTGTGTCGGGTGCACTGTCTCTTTAAATCCTCACCAGGGCCGGTGAGGTCAGTAACAGCATCCTTCCCTTTTCACAGATGAGGGGACCAGCAAATAGCTAGTAAGTGGCCACTTGGGATCAGGACTTCCGCTGACGGAGTCCCGATCCTGAGCTATTACGCTTCAAGACAGGGCCTCCCCTTCCCCAGTCTGCCTGCAGGTGAAGAGCGTGAGTACCCTGGGAGTCTGTATTTTAGGGAAGCTTTCAGACCGTCTTGTCATCAGGCCAGTTTTGGGAACGCTGCCCGGAGAGGAGTGTCAGAGGGGACCTGCTAGGCAGGCTGTGGCCTGTAGGAGTGATGTCGTTGGGGTGAAGGGCTGGTCAGCAGGGCCTCACTAACCACCCATTGCATGCTGGTTTTGGCCACTCTCGTCTGACTGGTCTGCCATGTGCTCACCTGGACAGAGGTAACATCATCTCCCCCAGGGGTCGCCTGCCTGGTTCCCTGTCCCTTCCCATGCGTCAGCTCCTGTCCGCCTCAGCCTCAGAACCTTCTGCAAGGCCACTGTGATTCTCGTTTCCGTTTTACAGAACTGCGAATTAGGACGGTGACTTCCCGGGGATTCCATGTTCATCAGGAGGGGCCCTGAGTCCCCACCTCCTGAGCTGTCCCCCATGTAGTTAGTGCATGACATTAGTACCCTGGCCAGGGATGGAGGGAGTCGCCACTTTTCTGGGGTGCTCCGTCTTTGTGGCATTTCCCAGAAGCACAGATGCTGGCACCTTGGGGATGAGTGGAAGTCTTTTGGGGTTTGGTTCCTGTTTTTTTCCGCTCTCATCAGCTCTGTTTTCAAATCTATTTTGTGTTTTTTAGCTTACGAGATAATAATATCTCAGACCGAGGCATCTGCAAGCTCATCGAACATGCCCTTCACTGTGAGCAGCTGCAGAAGTTAGCGTAAGTTGGGCTGACCACGGACATCAGGCCCCATGTCCCCAACCCCACTCCAGGCCACGCCCCCTGGGCCACAGCCGTGAGCAAGTGACGGGCTGGGGCAGGGGTGTTTGCGTGTCTAGAGGGCGTGGGGTGACGCCTGTCTGGAGGGAACGGGCTACCCTGGGTTTGGGTGGTCATTTTCCTTGACTGTGCCTTGTCTCCATGTCGCCTCTCTCTCGGAACTTTCCAGTCTATTCAACAACAAATTGACGGATGGCTGTGCACACTCCATGGCCAGGCTCCTTGCGTGCAAGCAGAACTTCTTGGCATTGAGGTGAGCCTAGGGCTTCCCTGTTCCCTGGAAACTGTTTTCTTCCCCATGGCTGAGTCAGTTCGGTCTGGTCTCTGCCCTGGCTCGCCCACACTGGGCTCCTGATCTCCTGGCTGAATCCAGGGGCAGGGTCTCCTTTTGAGCAGGGTTTTGCTAATGGATTGACCTCCACAGCAAACCCTGGACCAGCTTTGCCACGGGCTCCCTGTCCTTTGACCTTAGCCGCCAGGGCTGAAGAGGGTTTCCAGGCCCTTTTCCTTCCCTGTGTCTAGGAGCGTCCCAAGGTCTCCGGGCTTCCCTGGTGTACGTGGAGCCCGTGCTGCGAGGGGAGGCACACAGCAGACACTCGCCACCTCAGCTGTGACAGCTAGTTGCTGAGAAGCTCCCAGAAGATCCCTTCACTGCTTGGCGGGTCCCGGGTTTCCACTCAGTCTGGGACGCCTGCAATTCCGCTCCTCCCGGCCCTCCTGGCCTCAGCTGGAGTCTCTCTCCTCTCTGAAGCCATTAAATGGCCCCTCCAGCTGGTCTCGGGCTGGCCTGGCTTCTCTCTTTCTGGGATATTCTTGTCCCTGGCAGTAATTTTACGAGGCAGTAAAGAAGACAGAGTGAAGAACTGCTGCCCTCCATTCTTTCTACCTGCTCGGCTGGGTTTGGGGATGGGGGCTGCCATTTTTAAATAGTTGACCACGTCGCTCAGTCACAGGCAGGGCTGCTGAGGCCAGTGCCACAGGTGCCATTCTGTACAGAGGACTCTGTTGTGCTGCCACCACCTGCTCCCCCAGACTCACAGACCTGAGAGTGGCCGTGGCCAGACCTGGGCTGGCCCAACCCCAGGGAGGGCTATGGGCAGCGGAAAGGTGCTGCACTTGGAGTTGGAGGCATGGGGTTTTGGCTAACAGAGCATCATGGTTGAGATCATGGGGCTCTGGAGTCAGACCGAGTGAGGTTTGAATCTAGGATCCCTGAGATTTGAATCCTCATTAGATGTGTGACCTTGGGTCAGACCAATGTCTCTGTGCCTCTGTTTCCCTTTCTGTAAAATGGAGATAGTAATAATAGCTACCTCACAGGTTGTTGTGATGATTAATTAAGCGAGTTACTATACGTATATACAATATAGTAAGTGCTTTATAGAGTGAGTTGAGAGATCGTGGGTAAATCACATAAGTTCTCAGTGTGTTTAGTCCAGCCTTCCAAGGAGGGCTTAGATGTGCAACACATTTACTGGGAAAATGCCTATGAGGGGAAATGGGGAAGGGAGCTGGGGAGGCTGGGAGAGTCATCAGATTGCAACACAGGTCTGACCCTGAATGAGGGAGAGAGGGAAAGGAGTGTGGTTGACTTCAGTGCAGTTCTGAGAGAGTACGGAAGGCTGTGGGGAGGCCTCCAGCCAAGCCTGCCCGCAGAGGAGTCTCATGGCTCCTGGGCACTGGCTGGGAGCAGGCTGTGGGGAGCAAGGCTTGGTGCAGAGGTGACGTTGGAATTCCCAGCACAGCAGTTAGGCAACCTGTGGTCGGAGGTGTGAGAGGCCGCCCCATCCGTTCTCGAAGGGGATGATGATACCTGCCCTGTAGGATTGTTGTGAGTCGCAGTGGCTTAATGTGTATGAAAGTTCTCTGAAAAAATGAAAGCGTGTTATTATTCCAGGAAGCCTGAGTTTGTGGTGAGAGTTCTGGGGTCCTCTCTGAAGCTCTCTGAGGGGTCTGGATTTTGCTGAAACCCCCTTGCCAACCCCTGCCCAGAGGCTCAGTAGGATCCCTTCCTCTGTCCCAGCCCCTGGGCCTGCCCAGGCTCTTTCAAAACAGGTGAATGCTACCTGTAACCACAATGGATCTGGAACGCTGCAGGGGGCACGCTGGAGTCTAGTGTCGGCAGACCAGCAGGCGGCTGGGACGGGAAGGTGTGACAGTGAGTCACCCTTGCTCCCCTGGGGAAACCGCCTCCCAGACGGCTGTCTATTGTGCCTCCTGCCCTGCCAGTCACACTGCTTTGCAAAACAGGCTCCCCCAGTCCTTTCCCTTTGCTGGTGGAAAATGAAATCGTGGGAGCCAGTGAGTAAGCTCCCCTCTCACCCCCCAGCACAGACAGCACACATTATGTCTGCTGGGAGGGGCAGGAGCCAGGGGACGGCTCCTGTGTCCCGCAGAGAGGGCCTCCAAGCTTTGTTCTGTGTTTCTCTGTCCACGCCTCACTTTCCCCACCAGCCCCAGGCCTCCACGGTGCTAATGGTCCTCATGTCCTGCATCCTTTCTGTCTTCCCTTCCAGGCTGGGGAATAACCACATCACTGCCGCGGGCGCCGTGGTGCTGGCTGAGGGTCTCCGAGCCAACACTTCCCTGCAGTTCCTGGGGTAGGCTGGATTCTGGGGCAGAGGGGCTACACGGAGGGGCGTGGGGCTTGTAATTTAGGGGAAGGTGAAACCCTTCAGCAGGAAGGCCCCAGAGGCAGCCCAAGCTACAGTGGGAGGGCGAGGCAGGAGAGAGTAGGTGGCCCTTGGCTGCCTCGGCGCTTGCTTGTCACTCGATAAACAGGAAGTTCAGGATGTCTGGGGTGGCAGGGGGGCAGTGCCCACGCTGCTGGCAGGAAGCCCTCTGGTCCTTGCTGGTGCTAGGGCTGTGCTTCTCACCTTTGTCTTGCATTGGAGCCACTTGGGAGCCACGCCATTGCCTGAGCCCCACCCCAGACAAATTAAATCAAGTATCTAGATACGGTGCCCAGGGATCAGTAATTTTGAAAAGCTCCCAGAGGATGCGCAGCCAGGGGTGAGAACCCAGGGAAGAGAAGGAAGTGAGGAAGGCTGGAGACTGCAGCTAAGATGGTGGGGTTTCGCCAGCCCCTTCAGAGCTCTTGCTTGCTGCACAGCCACGCCAGGCCTGCAGGGAGGGGAGGGGAGTCAGACGCAGGTGGGAGGGCAGTCCAGTGGACCCAGGGCCCCAGTGGGGCTTATTCTGTTTGCTGGGCAGAGCGACTGCCCCCCAGGGTTGCACCCACGCAGTGCCCTGCAGCCCCTCTTCTGTCCCTTCTTGTCCTGGTGTGAACTGAGGTCCATTTGACAAGAACTGGGGGTTTTAGAACCCAAGACTAGAGGAGGAGAGAATAACCTTAGCGCCCAGGTGTTCCAGCCCATTTCACAGACAGGCACGTTGCCCACAAGCTCAGTTGAGCCAGGAGAGGGACTGCGTTCCTGGAGAGATCAGCACCTTTTCCAGGCTGCATTAGTAGCAGCACAGAGTCTAGAACAAGGGGGGCCACAGCCCCACTGAGCTCTTTCCTGCTTGAGGTCACGTCTGGCACGTCTGGGTCTTTATCCTTCATATATATTAAGGCCCCTGTCTGGGCCGGGCACTGTGCTAAAACCCCAAGCACTATCACGTGACACACACTGTGCTGTAACTTGCATTGTGTATCTTAACGATATGTGGGCATATTTTCACATCATATGACTCATTTTTTAAAGAATAGCTGCTTAGTATTCCACTGGTGGGAGGCCGTAATCTATTTAACTGGTCTCCTGCTGATGCACACTTAGGTCGTTTCCAGGTTTTTTGCTGTTGCAGTGTCATATCCATATCCATATATGTCATATCCATAGCTCAATAAATATTTACCTGATGAATGGAAGTGCAGGGAACATTCTGGCTCAGCTCTCTTGCGTGCTTGTGCACATTCTCGTCCAGCCTGACTTCCTGTGTGTAAAGTAGCCGGTGCCAAGGGATGAGCTGGGAAGGGATGTTTCCAAATCACAGTGGGTCTGAGGAGGATGAGCCCGAAGGTGAAGGGGTTAGACACCGTGAAGGACCTGGGGATGTGAGAAGGAGCAAGAGATGAAGAGCTGGCTTGTGGAAGAAGAGTTAGACTTGTTCTGGGTGGTCCCAGGGGGTAGTTAAGGACGTGTGGGTGGCACTTACCAGGAAGCAGATCTGACCTAAATGTCAGGAAAAATGTCACAACCGTGTGAATTGCCGTTGAGAGTGAGTTCCCCGTCCCTGAGGGTATGTGCTGGGTGGGCCTCTACTATTCTGTAAATCTGATTTAAAGCAACTAAAAAATCTGAGTGACGTTTGGCCATCCCTCCAAAAAGATGGAGGCAGGTCTATTTTGCTGGGACCTAGGAGGCCCACTGAGACCTGTCTGCAATTGGGGCTCCTGCCCCACTGGCTGGGGCCATAGAGAGGAGGGGCACTGTTGGCAAATGTCTAGAACACGTGGCAGGTACTCACTGACATTGACTCTGTTGGCCTTTTCAGGTTCTGGGGCAACAAGGTGGGCGACAAGGGGGCCCAGGCCTTGGCTGAAGCCTTGGGTAGTCACCCCAGCTTGAAGTGGCTCAGGTGAGCTTCAGTGTCTGTCTGCAGTTGTCATGGGGAGCCAGCATGAGGAGGGCAGAGCTTGGACCAGTTATGAAGGTCTTCGAACTTCAGTTTTACCCCCCATGTTAGGGGGTGGGATGGAAAGAAAGACCGTTGGGTTTGGAGGCAGGACACTTGAGTCTTTGTGGGTGACTTTGGAGATGATGTCCCTTCTCCTCTCAACGGTCTTGATTCCCTATCTGTAAATTGAAGATCTTGAGCTGGATCAGATACATTTTATCTCAAGGACCAATTCCAATCCATTGGAGGTGGCTGCCTAGTACACCATGTTGTGAAGGATTCTAAGGCTGCTTCTGAGCTTAACGAAAGAGTACTGTAATCAAGTAGTGATGTCTGAAATGGAGCAAATGAGGACATGGGCCTATGTGTGCCATGTGTTCTGCCCTTCATGGGTTAGCTTATCTCTGAGGTCCCTCCCTGCTCTGACACGCTTTTGTTCCTCGATTACATCCAGCCTGGTGGGGAACAACATTGGCAGTGTGGGTGCTCAAGCCTTGGCGTTGATGCTGGAAAAGAACGTGGCCCTGGAAGAACTCTGGTGAGTTCGGGGGATTCCCTGCTCTGGGAGATTCTTCCTTCCCTGGCCTCATCCGTGGAAGCAGTTGTTTGGAGAAGACAAAGGTGGATGACTGAGCAACTGGGTGATTAAGCTTGTCTTTCTGTGTCCTGGGTGGCATGAAGCTTCTAGAGCCTGTCATATTTAATTCTAAGCCTTTTTATTTAATTCTATTTATTGGTTTGTTGGTTTGTTTACTGCTTCCACATGGCATAACGGTTGAGAGCACAGACTCTGGGATCAAGCAGGCTGAGCTTCAAGGCCTGCTGTGATCTTGGGCAAGTTAAACACAATCTGAATCTCAGGTTTCTTACCTGCAAAATGAGGGTACGAATGCTTCCAACTATAAAACACGTTTGTAGAAATTAAATGAGGTCATGAGTGTAAAGAGCTTAATGTAGTGCCTGACATATGTGTAAGCACTCCACAAATGTTACATTGTAATGGTATTACTCCAGTATTAGTAGTATTACTCCAGTATTAGTAGTACTGTATGCAGTATTACTGCTACTATTGCTGCTGCTGTGCTACAGCTGCTACTAGTACCGTGATTGCTACTACAGCTAATAACATTTTGTTATTTCAGAGTGAATGGGAGGGCCTAAGAACACTGGGTATTGGAGTCAGGGTCACCTCGAAAGGTGGAGTGGACTTTGGGGGAAGATAAAAGATGAACCAGGAATCGTATTTACACTATTGACCCAAAACTAATTCCAAGTCTTCCATGCTTTCGATGCCACTAGTGTGGTCTTCTTGTGACGTGTTCTGGGAAGTTCCAAATTATATCAGGGAGATAAAATGCTGCTTTTTCTAGAAAGCAGAAGGGCACTGACACCCATGAGCATTGTCACCGATGGATATTGTCGGTGGGCCTTGGCGGTTGGCAGGCTCACTAGCTCTGCCGATGTCCAGTTGATTGTATCCTGATTGGATTTTGCCCCTCGGAATTTCTTGTTAGAAGAGCTCCCCACTGTGAGTGTATCAGTTATGATTACGTGAGGCTGCAAGTGAGGGAAAACCTCCATCTACAGTGGCTTAAAGCAGTAAAGGACTTATTTTTTCATGTGCAAGCAGTCTGGAGGTAGGCAGCATAAGGCCGGTATGGTGGCTACAGTAGGCCAGCAGGGTCTGGACTCTGTCTCTGTTCCATCACATCCTCAGTCTGTGGCTTCATCCTCATGATTGGTTGCCCTCACGGCCACAAGATGGCTGCTGCACCCACCTGTAGCACTACTGCTATATTCCAGGATTCAGGCCGTATATCCAGAGAGGGCAAAAGGCACGGGCCAGCTAGGTCTCTCCCGTTTAAAGGGCATTTGCAGGAGCCCTATCTGTCAGCTTCCCCTGATGCGTTAATGGATGTGGGTGCTGCTTGGCCAACCCTGGCTACAGTGGAGAGTGGGAAATGGAGTTTTTCACCGAGCACATGGCTGCCCCAAATGAAATAGGCTTCCATTCATAAGAAAGAAAGGGAAAATGGATACTGAGTCCCTGGGACAGGAGGAAACTTCTTATGCAGTGCAGCCCTGGGGCAAATTCTCTCCCAGAGATGTCCCTGGAATTGAGAAGCCTCACACCCTGTTTTGTCTGTTCTTACTTTATTAGTCAATGTGGATTTTCCAAATGGGGGACACATGGATTCATCTTTATTGACATCATCTTCTATAACAAACATTACCGTGTCAACTGGGTTTTCTCTCTTGTTCTTGCCAGTCTGGAGGAGAACCATCTCCAGGATGAAGGTGTGTGTTCTCTCGCCGAAGGACTTAAGAGAAATTCGAGTCTGAAAGTCCTGAAGTAAGGAAGCCGGGAGCAGGAGCCGGGACAAGAATGACTGGCCTCTGGAGGGGGGGTTTCTGAATCGGAGATCTGGGCAGCTCCCCAGCCTGGCTGACGCACACAAGGTGGCCTAGTGGAGAACACCTGGCGTTGTCTAGGTTCCCCCAAACGCAGGCTGAGACTCCGGTGCAGGGTGTTTACTGGGGAGGTGGTCCCCCCCAACACTGGTGAGAGAGTAGTGAAGTCAGGCAGGGAAGGAAGGGTACCAAGAAAGGGGGTGTCATCACCAGTTATCACCGAGGGCAGTGGGCGCAATCCTGCTGGGGAAGTGCAGGACCCCCACCCAATCGAGGGTCGAGACAGCAGGGGTATTGATCCACCAACTGTCTGTCCTTCATAGGTTGGTGTGTGCTTGTGGGGATGTTAATGTTAATCTGGCACTTCTGGTTTGCCCTGTGCATGCCTGAGCACGCTCCCAGGGTCCATAGAAAGGCCCGAGGCACAGAGTGGAAGTCTTCCCAGCAAGCAGCCCTCAGAGTTGGAGGTGAAAGCTGAGGGAGTATGGGCGGGTTATCCACTGCCTCTGCTACGGGGCTTGCAGGAGGTGCCACATGTCCAGGGGCGCCCTCTGGCTCGGGCAAGAGCATTCTTCTGATGGTCGTCTCCAGTGGTTCCTAATGTTGTGCTGTGCAGGTGGGCATGCTCGTGTTTATCCACGTGTACATTCATTCATTTGTCATGCACTCATACAAACATTCATCCGTCTATGTATTGATACCAGAAGTGTTTCTAGAGCACCCACTCCGTGCCAGGCACTGAGGAAAGAGTGGTAAAAAGGACAGAGCAGCCCCTGCTCACATAGCTCTTAAATTCTAATGAGAGAGACAGATAATGAACAAGTAAGTACACAAGGTCATTTCTGTTATACAGTCGTGCATCACATAATGACGTTTCGGTCAATGACTGACTGCATATGTGACAGTGGTCCCATAAGATTAGTACCATAGAGCCTGGGTGCGCAGTAGGCTATATCATCTAAGTTTGTGTAAATACACTCTATCATGTGCGCACAATGATGAAATCACCTAATGACACATTTCTCAAAACGTGTCCCTGTCGTTAAGTGACACAAGACTGTAATAAGGGCTCTACAGAGAATTTGAGAGGGAGATGTGACAGGGAGTGACCAGAGAGGGTGGGGTTGCTGCTGCTCAGGCAAGGCCTCTCTGAGAAGGTGGCATTTGAGTTGAAAACTGAATAACAAGAAGGTTTCTGCTATGCTGAGGTCTCAGGGAAGCACATTCCTGATGGATAGAACAGCAAGTGCAGAGACCCTGTGGCAGAAAGGAGCTTGGAGGTTTTGAGGACAGAAAGAAGGCCTGTGTGGTTGGACTATAGTGGAGAGTGGAGTGGGGCAGAGGCAGGGGAGCAGGCCACATGGGCCTCAGTGCCATGGGAAGGGTTTGGGGTTTATTCTAAGGGCATTAAGAAGCTTTTGGAGGGTTTTAATGAGGGTAGTGACATGATCTGATTTTCATCATAAAAAGATCACCCTTGCTGCTTTGTGCAGAACAGATGGAAGAGGGGTAAGGTGAAGGCAGGGAGACCAGTCAGGAGGCTCCCGCCGTCTTCCAAGGGAGAGATGACGGAGACTTGGATCAGGCTGAAGGCAGTGGAGAACGCTGTGGAAGGGGGCAGGAGCTCGTGGAGGTCCTGTGCGTCCAGGTGCTGGAGGGCTGGACAGTGGCAGCGTTGGTGGGGAAGTGATCGGGGACCACTGGTGGTGGACTCAGTGGGCAGGGACCCATTCCACAAGGAACGGAATGGCAGAGGTGAGCAGGAGCTCACAGGCTAGTGACCATCACAGGCTTATGTCGACGCTCTCCGAGGCTGGCGCCACACCGGCCGTGGTGCCAGAGGTCCCGTTTCACAGGGACGTCAGAGCATCATCAGACGGCTGCTTTTGCTGGAGGCGGGTGGCATCTGCCCTGGCAATGTGGCCCGAGGAAAAAACTCTCCTTCAGAGCCAGGCAGACGGCTGCCTCTGGGAGAGCATCTGCTTCGCTGCCAGCCTGCCATCCACTCTGGCAACACTTGTTTGTGCTGCTTTGCAGGGGCTAGGAAGTTGCCAAATGTTTGGGGAAAACACTTCCACTCAGCACATGGGTGAAAGTGGGCCAGGAGGCCCGGGGGAAGCCGGGATTTGTCTGAGCTGGGGTGCCAGGCTTTGCACACAGGGGGACCTCTGGCAATACCTGGTTTAGTATCGCCCAGGTGTGGAGGTAGCAAATTTGTCCTCCCTTGTTGTCATAGACTGACCCCACTCGATCCCTACAGATGCCAGGCAGAGGCAGCAGGAGTTGTCCCACGCTGCCTGTTGAGAGTCTTGTATTTCAGCATCACTGAACCATATCATCCTCCGCTGTTTCCCCGTAAAAATCGAGCTTTTCATATATCTTAAAAAAGAAAGAAAAAAAAAAAAAGATGCCTACATGCTTCTTTTTCCAGGCGTAGTCACTGCCAAGCATTGGTAAGAAGCAGGCTCTGGAGCCTGGCAGCCTGGGTGTGCACCCCAGCCCCCCGTTACCACCTGTCTCTCCTTGGACTGGTGCTTGGGTTGCCCTGAGTGTAAATGGGGATACTAATGGGAGCTCCTCACAGGGTTGTGAGCAGGCACTGAGATGATGTAGGTGATGAGCTGGCACGTAGTAAGAGCTCAACGAGTATTGGCTGTTATTAGTATTAGCATTGCTTTAGCGTCAGCTTCGGAGAAGGTCCTGATATTGTGGAGGTAGAAGGCAGGGAGCATAGATTATCTAGAAGGCCACACTATGAGCACAAGAACAGCATGGGGAACCATGGCTCTTCCCGTGCTGTCCCTGACAGCGTGCCATCTCCCCTCCCCATTCCCAACTTCGTATTTTCTCTAATCTGTGTCCCTGTGCCCCCAAGCCCTCCCAGATGAAAATGTTACTGTTCTTCGATTGTTTTCTCTCAGTTAAGTATGGTGTCAAGTGCTTTCGAATATGCCATTCTTTAATTCCTATCCTCCATGAGGTGGGTACTCTTTTAGGTCCATTTTACAGATGAGGAAATTGGGACTAATTTGCTTGAGATCTAAAAGGAAGTGGTGTAAGTTGGATTTGAGCCCAGGAAGTCTGGCCCCCAGGAAGAAAAATGCCCGTCCTTAACCACCATGCTATATAGCATCTTCCTAAAGGGGTAGCTACTAAATTAGATAAACGAATCTGGTGAACGGAGGAGAGGGGGGTGCCTTTCATCTTAGGCATTGAGCCTTGTGGATGGGCTCGTTGGAAATCTCAGACAGGAGAGGGCCATGTCAAGGGGGCAGGTGGCCTGCAGTAGGGCAGCCAACTCCTAAAGCCTCCTTTAATTGGACAGGCTCGAGAGGAGAAGCAAGCATCGTTGAGGCTCACCATTCTCTCTTCCTCTCCAGGCTGTCCAACAACTGTATCACCTACCTTGGGGCAGAAGCCCTCCTGCACACCCTTGAAAGGAATGACATCATCCTGGAAGTCTGGTAAGGCCCCTGGGCAGGCCTCTCTACGTCTCTGAGCCTCAGTTTTCCAGTCTGTAAAATGGGGCAAGGGGAGAGAGGAAGTTCAGCATTTCTAAGACCCCTTCCGGTGGCTTTCTGCATGTGATGGATCTTGTTCTCTCTCTGGGAAGGCTGTCTTCATGTCGCTAAGCAGGGACCAATTCTTTTATTTATTTATTTATTTTTAAAATTTTATTTATTTTTCCCCCAAAGCCCCAGTAGATAGTTGTGTGTCATAGCTGCACATCCTTCTAGTTGCTGTATGTGGGACGCGGCCCCAGCACGGCCGGAGGAGCGGCGTGTGGGTGAGCGCCCGGGACCCGAACCCAGGCCGCCAGCAGCAGAGCGCGCGCACTTAACCACTAAGCCAAGGGGCCGGCCCCAATTCTTTTATTTTTAAATCATGAATTCAGAAATGTCCCTGTTCTAGGCAATAGTGTGGGAATGGGGGTGTGGTTGAAGAATGAAATAAAAAACTCAGCTCGTGCCCTCCTGGGCGTTACATCCACCCTCACAGGTCAAGGCTGTTGCATCAGATTCTCTGCAGTTCTGGATGGAGGCGACACAGGGTGGGAACTGTTGCACAGTGTTTCCAAATCTTTATCATTAAAGGCCATATTCCCCTATGTATTTGAAAAAAGCATTGAGTCACAACTTCAAAGATTTAGCCTCCTTCTTTCTAAGGGTTTATTCATCACTCAGATAATAAGCAGAAAGTTTTCCCCTGGTTTAACATGTTATGAGTAAATGTCACTATATATGTTTCAGGCACTGGGCTAGAAAGCAATATTTTAAAACTAGGAGATTCCTTATAAAAATCCATGTTTTTAGAATTTTCTCAAAAAAGCTGGCAACTCTGGACCCCCATTCAAAATGCCAGTAATTAAGCAGAGCAGAGGAAGGGCTGACTCCACTGAGCTGGGCAAACCGACTCAGGCTGACCACAGACGCGCCCAGCTGGTTGTTTTGGTCCAGGCCCCTTTGGTTGCTGTGCATTACCTGCCTCATCCCGGGAAGCTTGTGTCCTCTGCTGTGAATATGCAGACTTGTCCCTCCCTTAAAAAGCATATCAGGGCAGCAGATATCAAATAGATAGATATCAAATGATGAGGTTAAAAATAAAGACTTCTAAAAATCTGTCCTGTGATAGAGAGATGTTTTTTTGTACAATTGTGTAATCCCTGTACCCCGTGAGGTCCTCATGTCCTGGCCAGAGTGTGGGTATTTTTTTAAAACCATTGCACAGTCCTAAGAAATGTCACATTCTGTGTCCTGGCAGAGCAAGCCAGCATCAGGTTGATATTTTAAGGGTTCTGATGTTATTTGCTGCCTGTTGGTGAAGCTTGGGAGGGCAGCCGGACTTGCTCATTGCATTCTTGACAGATTCTGCTGTTGCTTTAAAAAGAATCACCGGCCTTGGGGAGTCGAGGCCGGCTGGGTCCGGTGGGGACTCTTTGTGCAGAGTCACAGAGCCTTGTTTCATCATGCACGATGATTCATGAGCCGCCCCGGCCGGCAGAGGGTAAAACTAGCCCAGACTTCCCTCCCAGGAGAGCCGCAGCTGGGCAGAGGGTCAAGCCATCCAGGCAAGGGTTGAGAAAGCGGCAGCTTCCGTTTGAAAGCACTGTTCTCATTCTGTCCTCACTCCAGCCTCTCTTTGCTTGATCCCCGTTAGGCTCCGAGGAAACACTTTCTCTCCAGAGGAAATTGAGAAGCTCAGCCACAGGGACACCAGACTGCTGCTTTGATGTCTCCCGGCCAACGTTCGTCTCAGTTTGTTTGTGAGCAGGCCTTGGCTTTGGAGCCCAGCGGCTGGGTTACAGCCAGCAGCAGCCGGACCTGACAGATCCCTGTCCTGCCCAGGGCGAATACAATAGGTCACCTTTGTTCTGGCAGAGGAAGGAGCATCGCTGCCCTTCAGAATAGACTTTTCCAAAGCCTACTATTGCCATCAAGTTCTTCCCAAGATTAAATCCATGGGAAGTTGAGAGGGGGAGCCGCCCCTCTACATTACGGGGCTAGTTTCCAGCTGATCTGATGTGGGTCTGTGGGGCCCACGGATGTTACTGAGTGTTTATTGGTGTAGAGACCTGGATCCACGTGAAAGGCTCCTGCCCGCTTTTCTCACAATGAAGAGGGGGATTCAGGAAGAAGCTTTCTGCCACGTCTCAACTCATGGGTCCTCCATCCAGGCTGTTCCGGCGTGTGGTTCCTCCGCTCATCCTGGACCCCTGCACATGGCACTTCCTCCGTGGCTGAGAATTCAAAATATTGGTGTTCTCAGCTTTGATATTTCCCTTATAGCCACTCCCTACCCCCTACTTTCGTTACCCAGGGTGGGAGGGGCTACAATTTACCCTGCTTTCCTTTCTGGTATTATTGGAAGGGGACACATGGCAGCCATTTATTCCCTAAGACATTCTATATTTGCAAGAAAAATACAACCACACTACAGCTGGTATCACACTTGGACTTTTATTTCCAGTGAAATCAATTACTCTTTGGTTAAGACTTTGGGAGCCAGCCCTGGCGGTCTAGTGGTTAAGCTTTGGCGCTCTTACTGCCAGGGCCTGGGTTCGTTTCCCGGTCAGGGAACCACAGCACCTGTCTGTTGGTTGTCATACTGTGGCGGCTGCATGTGGCTGTGACGCTGAAAGCTATGCCACCGGTGTTTCAAATACCAGCGGGGTCACCCATGGTGGACAGGTTTCAGTGGAGCTTCCAGACTGAGACAGACTAGGAAGAAGGACCCAGCCACCCACTTCTGAAAAAATTGTCCATGAAAACCCTGTGAACAGCAGCGGAGTATTGTCTGATACAGCGCCAGAAGATGAGAGGATGGTGTAAGAAGACCCAGCAGGGTTCCCCGCTCCACTGTACACGGGGTCGCTAGGAGTCAGAATTGACTTGTAGGCACTAACAACAATAAGCCTTTGGAAACAACTCCTCATCCAAATGCAGCCTTTTAAAATTAATCTGGACCAGAATTTTGAGCAGCCCCACCAGGTCTCTGGTTGATGCCTGTGAACTGAACTCTTGACAGCAGACTTCCAAAATATATTCATAAGAGATGGTTCCATTTTATTTGTGCCAGAATGCTTTAGGATATAAAGTTATGGATCAAAAGTTTACAGGGACAAAATCAAAGGCCCTTCCTTATAAAGTACCTGTTTTTCTGGATTTTTCAAAAGGATGCATGTCGAAGCCTTTGTAAACTGTCAAATGCTGTGCAAGTGTTATTATTTTAAACATTATTATTTGTGAAAACTGGTTAATATTTATAAACCACTTTGTTTTATTCTCCGAAGATTATATTTTTATAAAAAACACGACTATGAATTTTATGCTGTAAATAATCACAGAGGAGAAAACTATTGTCACCAAAGCTATCTTCATTGTGACCAAACATTTTTAAATATTCTTGAAATGTGTCAGATATTAAAGCACAATTTTCTACTCAAAGGGGGAAAAATGATGTTTGCAACCAGATAATTTATTGCCTAAGGCAAAAGCAATTCTTAGAAATAGACTTGCCATTGAAACACATTTGGCTTCGGCTTAGAAAAGTCTGACCCAGCGTGATGTTTTAAGCTGTGTGTTTTAAGCTGAGCCTCACGGGGCCCCCGCTGAAAGGCTGCAGCAGGAGAAAAGACCCCTGGGCCTCCCTCGATCCTCTCCAAGTGGTTCTAGGATGGAGAAGATTTGGGGACAGCTCTCCTCAGTGAGCAGCCTCCTATGTAGGCCTTGTTGAAATAATTCTTAGCTGCATTGAATGAGCAGGGGCTCAGGTGGCTGCTTACCTTGCAAGGTTTCGTGTGTGCCTGGCTCCCTAAATGCTGTGGCATCTCCCTGGGCTCCTGCGTGTGAGCGTGTCTGTGTGTTCTCTTTGTTGGTGGTGTTAGGTTCTCTGCAGACCATTGTTTCTGATGGAGAAGATCAGGAGGAAGAGGGAGATGCCTTCTCCCAGGAGTAAACATGGAGGACTATTTGCATGGCGCCATCTTGGATTGTAAATTCATCTTCCTTAAATTCAGTCAGCAATTATGTATTAGCCAGTTATGTTAGGATAATCAGTGGATGAACAAAACAGACACAGTCCCTGTGCTCAAGGCGCTTATGGCGAGGGGAGAGGGAGAGGTAGGCAGAAAACAAGTAAACTGGAAAATATAGGACATAAGGTCCCTGGTGGTAAGTGCAAGGAAGGAAATCAAGGAAGGTTCAAGAGAGAGGGAAACCTTCTTCAGAGTGGGGGTTGGTCAGAGACAGGTTCTGTGAGGAGGTGACAGGTGAGCTGTGTGACTCCAAGAATGAGGTGGGGCTGGCTGTGCAAAGAATGACGGGGGAGGGGAGCATTCCAGTCACGGGAAACAAGCTGTACAAAGACCCTGTCATGGGAAAGAACTTGGTACATGTGCTAGGCTGAATAATGGCCCCCAAAGATCTCCAGGGCCTAATCCCTGAAACTTGTGAATGTTGCCTTATATGGCAAAAGGAACTTGAAAGATGTGATGAAGTTAAGGCTCTTGAGATAAGGAGATTATCCTGGATTATCTGCATAGACCCTAAATGCAACCACAAGTGTCCTTATAAGAGAGAGGCAGAGGGAGATTTGACACAGAAGAAGAGGGTCATGTGGCCACTGGAGTAAGATGCTGCCCCCCTGGCTTTGAAGGTAGAGGGAGGGGCCCCATGGGCAAGGAATGCAGCTCTCGAAGCTGGAAAAGGCAAGGACACAGATTTTCCCCTAGAACTTCGGGAGGGAGTGCAGCCCTGCTGCCCCCTTGGTCCCAGCCCATTTTGGACTTCTAGCCTCAAGGACTGTAAGGGAATAAATCTGTGTCATTTTAAGCCACCAAGTTTGTGGCAATTTGTTACAGTAGCCATAGGAAACTAATTCAGTCTGTTTGAGATGAGCTAAGGGGAGAGTGTTGCCAGATGGGTTTGAAGAGGTAGGTAGGGCCAGTCATGAACTAGTTGGTCACGGTCAAGAGTTTGGTCTTGATCTTAGCTTAGAATAATGGCAAGCCACGGAGAGTTCTAAGCACGGTGGATGCAACCCAATTACATTTAAAGAAGATCTCTTGTTCCTGGGCGGAGAAGGGACTGTAATGCATAGGGGTGGGGGTAAGGGGAAGAGGAAGTGGGGAGACCATCTAGGACCACCTAGGAGCTATTGCAGGTGAGAGGCAGTTGGCAGCCTAAGGTGGTGTCAGTGGAGGTGGAGAACAAATGATGGATTCCAGAGACATTCTAGAGGTCGATTCCCAAGGGTTTACAAGTAGATTGGATGAGAGGGATGAGGGAAAGGGAAGAATCAAAGATGACTCCTAAATTTCTGACTTGAATAACTGGGAGACTGGAGAAGACAGGTAGGAAACAAGTTTGAAAGTGGGAGGGACTTCTGTTTAGGATCGTCAAGTTTGAGACTCCTAAGTGGAGAAGCCAAGTGGAGACGTCGTTATGGTGTGAGTCTGGAGCCCGTGGGAGAGGTCGCTGCCAGATAGAATAGCATGGGCATCCTCAGCATCAAAGGGGGAATGGGGTCCATGGGCCTGGATGACACAACCCAGGGAGAGACTGTGGAGAAAGGAGAGTTCCAGAGGGCCCAGGTAAGAGCGCTACTGAGATCTCCATATGTGATTACTGTCACGGCTCAGAGTATGACAAGTTTCCTACCTTTGGAAAGGCAGCAGATCCTGAGAGCGTTCTAGGCCTGTGCAGGTAACTCGTGAACTAGGACTCTTTAAAGTTCCCTGAAGGGAGGTTACCTGTGCTCATGGCCAGTGGCTTATCCAGGAGCAGACAGATTCCAGATTTGTGGCTAAGAATACATAATTCTTAGGTGCAGGAAAAAAAGGTATCGGAGCAGGAGAATTTTTTAAAAAGCCTCAGACTTTAATTATATTCACCATGATCCTAGAAGGAAAAAAAAAATGTCAATCTGAGTGTTTTCCCCCCAAAACCAGATGCTGAGATGAATACACCCCACAGAAATGTGGGAGGTGAATCATATTCCACGCGGGCTGAGTTGAGACTACAGCATCATTTTGTTATCGCGCCAACACACCTTCATGCCTCCCTTCCCGCTCAGGAGACTGGTGCCGCCCAGTGGGTGAAGCACACAGCAGTCGGGCACACACTCTGGCAGTGCCCGCACACGAGGGAGCGCATAGCCTCGGGCCCTGGGTGGCAGGTTGCAGGTGAACAGCAAGGTCATGAACGACATCGGGGACGGCCTGAGCAGTTTCCCTTGGAGAATTACATGGCGAGAGACTGCAGCTGTGCAGACTGGCAATCTGAGATCTTTTGATTCCCCAAGATACCCTTTTATTTTGCTCTAAATGTAACCTCAACCTATCATCACTTCCAGAACAATCCACAAATCCAGTCCTCTAAACATCACCCCTCCACCTGTCAATCACCCTGAAAATCCTTCCTCTCAGGAGTGCTGCCTCTCCTTTTTATTTGCGACTTCCTTGACGTCTTCAGTTCCACATTCCCCTCCCCCTCAGCTGCTCTCCCCCACCCCCAGGAAACAAGGGGCTCCTTTGCAGCCCACCCTTGCCTGGATCACTGCATGAGTCTCCCGACTGGTCTCCCTGCTTCTGCCCTTGACCCTTGGAGTGAGCCTGTTAAAACATAAAGCAGATCAGCCACTGCTCTGATCTGAGCTCTCCAGGACTTTCCCATCTGGCGCAGGGTGCAAGTCAAGGTCTCATGCTGGCCTTCCCTTTGCCACTCACACCCCCAATCTCTGTGCTCTGGCCACACCATTTCTTGGCTGTTCCTTGACAATGCCAAGCACACTGCTGCTTCCAGACCTTTGCACCTGCCTATTTCCTCTTGCGGGAACATTCTTCGCTAGATAGCGGCATGTCTGGCTTCCTCATTTCCTTCAGGTCTTTGTTCAAATGTACCTCATTGAGGGAGTCCTTTCCTGAACAATCTACCTAAAATAGTGGCCCCCAACCACTCTCCGCCCCAGCCCTGCTTCGTGTTGT